AGGATTAGTTTATTTCCTTTTAGAATTTAGTTTCCTTATTTTAGTTTCCTTTTATTAATAGGATTAGGGATAATTTTGCCTATAAATATAGGGGTATTGTACACTTTTTAATCAATCAATCATATATCAATACAAAGCAAGATTATTCTAATATAATTCTTATTTTCAATTCTTATTACAAGAATTTCTAGACGCTTCCGCACCAAAAATAAGTTTCGAAATGATGAGGCTCGAATAGAGGCTTAATGTTCAATAACTTAACATCTTATATCATAGCCAATCAATAATATTACTTAAAATAAAAATCTCTTAAGAGTATCAGTTATTATAGTAAAATTCTGCATACATCTAATAACTTAAAATATCACAGTCAATTTATGAATACACTCACAAGCCTTGCCATTTTGATGTTTCGATTACTTTCCATATCATTCTCTTTTATCCTCATCATATGAAATTATGAACCGTTGATTTTCATCTCCATGCGTTCATATTAGATAGATTTCTAAGTGCATATTATTCAACTACTCCTTTGCTAGAACTCTAATGTATCTAGTCACTCACCCCATTAAACATTGAATTACTATGTCTATTTATCAATCATCTCGATCTTGGCTTCAACACCCCATGTGCAGCCAGATTCTTGAGGCCTAACACATGATGAGTTTTTATAAATTGGTAGCGACGAGACTGGAACCTAAGCTTTTGTTTGGGTACAATTTATAAATTTAGTCAAAATTTAATTTCAACCACACACACACAAATACTACTCAATTATTATTTACACATTTCATAAAATCCACAACTATTCCTCTTTATATATTGATTTATAAATTTTTCATACGGACGCTAATTCTTTTTTTTCTGGCTCTAATACCATATTAACATTCCACTTAAAAGGTTAAGTTATTAGAGAGGGATCACATCATTCATTAAAATCTCATTTTTTATCAAAGGTCTCACACGAGCACGTAGGTGGCACCGAGACTCAAACTTGGGTTTTATGTCTGATGCCATGCAACAATCACCTAAAAGATTAAGTTGCTAGAGAGGGACGTGTAATTATTTAAATGTTGTCTTAAACAATTGCCCCCCTCACATGCTAACCCGCTTGGCATGTGACAATTTTTCAGAAATGAATAACCATCTCAATGTTGTCTTCAACACTACCGAGATCCCATTTTCTTTCCTTCAAGGTCACAATATTAAGTACTTCAATAATCACATCTCTTCATCTAGACCAATGTAATATATTTACTTAAAAAAATCAGCAAAAGACTTTCAAGAACTTGTGCAATATTTATCATGTGCTCGAATATACAGAAAGTTATTCATGGATAGAAGTAATAAAGGTGTTGATAAATTTGATTTGAGTGAAATAGTTAATTTGATTAGAAGATCTGATTTGATAGGGAGATTTGATCTTATTTCCAATTTAATTGCTATATATAGAATGTATAGCTCTAGAATATATTGTCTGATCCTAGGATCAGACCATTTAGTTAGTTTCCTGATCAGTCACTCTCCCTGCTCTATTTAAAGTTGTAATTTATCCAACCAACTGCAAGAGAATGGTATATTTTCACTGATAATCCTACAAAAAGTAACCCAAATCTGGGGCATAATATAAGATTAATAGGCTTTTGTTATTAAAACAATTTAAAAGTTTTATACGTGTACTTTGCCCCAAGAATTAGTTTTTTAATACAAAATATTTAAAATTCAAAAGATTTTTGTTTCTTTCTCCTGATGGCTCGTGCACGTGATACACATTCGCACTAAAAAGTGCATATTGATTAAGTATGTGGATCAAGGCTTGCTAGATCCTTTGATGAGGAATCAAAAATATTATTGTTTTATTTTAATACTCAGACAAACTAAGCATTCGTCTATAAACGAACCACTTCTAATTCCTTCCATAATCACCAGTCAAATAACTATAAAACCTCAAAAGTAGACCACTTCCTGCCAAATACTAATTAATAATAAAGCTAGCATAACAAGTCCTAGAGCATTACTCTGTGCATGAGCACTTTTATTTGTGTGTGTGGGGGGGGGGGGNNGGGGGGGGGGGGGGGGGGGTGCTTGAGAGAGAGACCTGATATATCAGAGGTCGAGAACAGCCCGTTATCTTCATGAAGCATTCATTAATACCAAAAACCAGATTCTCCCAAAGCACATGATGGTTGCTCTGTGATACTGAAGTCCAAGCTTGCATTCCCTCCTCTACCAATCTCTTTGCAATTATTATTTGACGCCTAAAAATTACAAACCTTCTTTATGAACATGAAACCGTAATAAATTGAAACATCTGTCAAAGAATATGTAATATATATAGGTAGGGCAGTAATTAAATAGTGAATTTACAATCAGCATACGTGAATAAATTGCACTTCACCAACCCACAACTCACTCTCATTTCCAAAAGCAGTAACATTTTGGCCCTTAAAAAACTAAATTTGTTTCTAATTGGCCAACTGTTAACTTTGTCCGCTGACTGAACAGAATAGCACATAATATCAACCTTCATCAAGTGACTAAAAAAAGATTGAAACATAAAAGTACATAACATAATGCATCTTCAATAAATTAGTATTAAAATGGTAGTATTAGATTCTAGTATTATTATGGTAATTTGGTATTTAAGTATTTTTATAATAATTTTAAGATTTTCCTATTGCACAAGGATTAAGGTTATGGGCTTTCCTTCTTGCAATATGTTTAGGATTTTCCTCGTAACTTTTAGGTTTCTCTCTTGCACTAGGACTTTTGCTTCATTATGTAAATGAGCCAACTAGGGATTGGCCATAACACAATTGATTAGTGAATAGACTATAAGTATTCTCAATTCTTCTCAAATTATATGTATTCTTTGTGAATCAACAAGTTTTGTTGTTCAGTTATACAGTATTCTTAGAAATCAACGGAAAAATTAAAAGGTTTTTTGTATCTATTTGTGTGTTAATTGTTTTCATATACACTTCCCTACATCATCATTCATTATCCCTACAGCTTGCCCAGGATGAAAATCGAGTCGCTCTCTCTGGTAGGGGATGATCTATGTTCACAGCATTATTTCATAATAAATCAATATCAAGAAACGGGAGTTCATAAATAAAAAAGTTAAAAGGAATCGAATTTTAATGTGTTGAACATGGGCAAAATCTTTCAATTCTTAATAACTAGAAGATTTCTGCATTATCCTACTATTAACATCATAAGATTACACTCAAGTGACAACAAGATAGAGCTAAGAAAGAGAGAAATGTTTGCTTACCTGTGATGGGAACATCCAGAAAAGAGAGAAACCTGGTGGGAAAATTTTGCAAGGTCTTCTTCACTAGCTGAAATCGCAATTTCCTTGAGCAGGTCAGACCTCTCAGTTGGACCTCCAAGGCAGTATTTAAAGACAATCAAATCTGAAATTCGACTAGTGCTCGGCATGCTCTTTGGATCTGAATTTGTTTCTTCACTACTATCAGAAGCAGCTGAGCAGTTGTCAGCTCTGTCATAGTTTTCCGGTCTCCAGTCCATAGTTCCCCCATATATGTTATTGTCCTGATTCCAACAATGGAAGCATAGAGAAACGTGTGAAGGGAAGCTATACGGCATAGACTGTCACTTAAAAAAATGGGAATTACGAAGTTCATAATTCATACTATACTTCAACCGAATGCTCGAGATAGGTATAATCTTCAGTGTGTTGCACAACAGTGTAAATGAAGCTCACTAGAGAAATGGGCGCATTTACTAATGCTTGGCTCATTACAACCAGGCCATCGTATTTTACAGGTTCAGACAAAAAGAGCTTTCATGTGCATCAGTGCAAGCATAAAAAATATGGTACTTCGACCCCGACCAAAAAAGGAAATTGTCTAACCCCAGATGGCAATGAGCAACTAGTAATCAGTGGTTAACTTACCCTAATGAAGAAGGAAAAAAACCATTACTCAGTGATTTTACTAAATAGAGCTCCTCATCTTGCCATATAAATTTTAAGTATTTGGCCGCAAAAGACGAGTGAGCCTGTTTTATGCAACCCAAGTCGAGCAGGGATACAATTACAAACTACTTTACTTTTTCCCTAAAGTTCCCTAAATTGGACTTGTATGTGTCACTAAGAAGATGAAGGGCACGATAGATACCTCATTAGTGATCCAAACATGAGAATTGCTCTCCTTGCCAGCTTGCTTCAGTGGGAGATTATTTTCAAAAGTTGTGAATGGTTTATCCTTTCCTAATTTGATCCGCTTAGATGATGGACTAGGTTTTGCTTCACGTACAATACTAGGGAGATGTGCCAGAGGTCCATCATCAAGATCATGGGATTGGGATCCATTGAGTAAATAAATTCCAGAGGAAGCTTTTCTCCATGGTGTAGAGGTCGTCCGTGCATTGCGACTACGTGAAACACAACGAATTGGAAAGGAAAGAGTCTCGAAAAAAGGATATCTACCCATCTTTGGAATGTCAAACCTGATGCGGAACAGCCTGTTGTCACACTTAGAGGAAAGCTGCAATGGAATAACAAAAGGAATTCGTGGATTATTCAAAGAGAAACGGATGCATGATCGAGTAATCAAATGCACTTCACTAGACAAACTATTCCCACGAAACAAAAGGAGGAAAAAAGAGATTGTCTAAGTCATCTCTTGAAGCCTGACAAAACAATTAAACTATGATATGAGATGCTTTAAGTCGTGTAATTCTTCAGTTACACGAGTGGCAGTCACGCTAAAGAAATGCTCCGGTACCTCAATTTTAAAACTGAAATAACATTGGGGAAGGGAAGAATAAACAACAAAGAGAGTGCTTATCAATTAATTTAAATCAATTCTTCCTCAGCAATGTAGAGAAAAATGATAATATTAAAAGCTGTCGACCAAAATCTCATGCAATCTACCGTATATTATAATCAAAATACGAGTGAAAGATGTACATCAATCATTCAAAACATACCTGAGATATCTTGAGCTTAAAGGAAGCACGTCCACTGGTTAATTTACATGGTCTATCTTGAGAAGAAAATTCAATTCCATCACAGCTCGTGAGAAGGGGAGCTTCTGAATCAGTTGTGTTCTCAACAGGAGCCTCATTGTCGGCATAACAAAGGGAAGCAACAACCTTAAGGAAAAGAGTAGTATGGACTTGAGTAGAAACCCACAATATGTATAAATCAACCTCAATTAGTGACTGTACAAAAGAAAGAAATGAAAACCTCCAATTCTTTGTTCACTCGATGGCCAAAAGCATCCAATAAAATAACATCCATAGAAAAGATCCTGCGACAAGATGCCTGCTTTTCCATGAAACAGACGAAAGATTGGGTTAAAAGAATGACAAATGTCCAAGGAAACCCAAAACACTGTACCTAAATGCTAGTCGAAGCTGATGCTTAGTTTAGATTATATGCAAATTGAAATTTAAATGCAGACAATATCTATAGTTAAGCCAAAAACCGCTAGAAATGCATAACATCTGTTAGTCTACTAGCATGTTCTACTGCAAAATCAGGGCTGAATCATGCTTAAAAGGCATTGACTAAAAGTAGTACGTGTGTGACGGGGAAAAAATTTCCCTGTGAGACTCAATAGCAAAACACATTTAGCATGATGCTCAATAAGATATCTCCAAAAAAAATGGACACGTGTAATATCTCTTTGAAGATGAATGAATAAGTCATGTTGAAACAAGGGGCATTATTTTCTTCCAGCATTCTAATATGTCATAAAGAAAAAAGCTTCACTGAATTTTGATTTCAGCAATAAGCAATGATGGAAATATAACTGCAGAGGTGATCAGCTTAAAATCTGAAACATGTAATTATCATACTTCTTAGACAGAGTAACACTATATGGTTCTACAAAGTGAGCAGATATCAATATAACTTCGAACTTCCAGGCTGAGTGGTTAAAAAAAGATCAATCATTAATAAATATAAATAAGTCGGAGACATTACTAAAGCAAATTTGACAATTTTGGTAGAAAAATATTTATATCATTGATCAGTGGGTATAATTAATTGCTATATAAAATTAATTTCGATTAGATCCCCCAATAATTTGACGTGCATTTGCATTTCATACAGGAAAAACTAAAACCAAAAACAGGCACAAATTCTCAAAAATAAATCCTTTTAACCTTGCCGCCAACGATGCTCCAAGCACCATCACTGTCTTCTTCTATTTCAGATGCACTAGAATGGTCAACAGCTAGTTGCACCGGCGGATCCTGCCATCAGGGAACAAGGGTCACCACAAACAAGAATTCCGTACACGCAAAAAAGCATTTCAAAATTTTTTTAAGAAGTATGAACCTTCACATAGTGATGTTCAACAGGTGATGACGGAGACAAGACATCCATTCCATAAACGTAAGCCTGGAATCCATCCTCATTTCCACCGATCCTTACCGAATACATTCTTTCCAGAGCATTTGGATGCGTATCCTTGTTAAGGGAGCAAGTTACATGCTTCTCTCCCACAATCTCTCCATCCACGTGAAGCCGCAGAATATCTGACAAGACCTGAAAAATAAAACAGTATGCTATAAGGTTTACCACAAAAAGGCATAATAGATGAGAAACACACTCAAGAAGAGGCTGATTTCAGACACAAACAGGATTAGCAGTGAACTGAGAACCCGAAACAAATTCTTAATTCAGATGATATAGAAGCTGTCCAAAGTATAATACATTTTATTTTCATTTTGTACTTTTTGTACACATTAAATTCATAAGCCAGTATGTACAATAGATTCCCTATTATGAGACTACTTCAGATTCTTCGGTACAATTTTTTCTCAATGTGTTCAGGATAGTGCGCAGTTAACGCAGTAGAATGTCTTAAAAAGCCATTTTCCTTTTGGGCAGCATTATTTTCTCACAACTAAAACAACATTGAAATGCAACTCATCATAACCCTTTTAATCTCCCATTTCCAAAAATGGTCCAAAGTTTTATGTCTTTTACTTTTCTTCTGTCTAGTGAAACATGCTTTACTGCCAACCTTTTTTCAGAGCACTGAAGCCCTATTTTCTTTCAGTGCAAGGCATTCATATTGGTAATCACAATCCAATCTATAGCTTCTTGACATGGAGAAAAGGTTACTCACCTCCCCATAATTTTGAAATACGTAGCCATTAACCAACTATAAATGTTTAGATAACAAAAAGCATTTCTTGGACCACTACCTAAAAATTATGAGGATGCAATTTATTTGATATCTTTAATTTATTAAGATGAAAATAGTCAAATTTGTAGAGAGAGAATATAAATATAAATATAAATATAAATATATAAGGTATATGGGTACATGTGCTGTTTGTCAGTAAAAAGAAAGAAACAGAGCGGCAGGAAATAAAAAAGGTAGAAAGAACTGAGTTACTTATTTCAAACAGGAGAACCCACAACTTAAAACCAATTCTAATATTTATTCAAGCAAATGAAGATGGGGGAGGTAAATTTTGCCCAGAAGTAAATCAGTTGTTCACAATTAAAAGCTGCATCAGCATTAGAGTCTTATAGCACACCAAATCACACTACACCAACACCCTTAAAATTGCTCACTGGTCCAAGAGACCTTAATCACATTACAAAATCTACCCAAGAAACATAATGGACCTGGTCCAATTTCATGGAAGATAATTAAAAAAAATATCTACTCCATCTTTCTCTCCTCAAACTTCATCAATGTGTACCAAAAGAAGTAGACTATTACCTCAAAATAAGCGCATGTTATATTCCTCAGTTTTCTACCCAGTAGACAATCTTAGTAATATAAATCAACTAGAAAATAAGAAAAAAATAACACGAGTATCATCTTCAAAGACATGTCCAGGTAATTAAGACTAATAAATGATCACACACACTAGGGGATAAGATGTGGAAAATCCAATCAGGTGAGAAAATGTGATGTGTATTAGAAAACAAAATACCTCACATCCAACATGAACCCATTTCTTCTCTGGGAACTCCATCTCAGTAAAGGCACCTGGAACTTCCATCCATGGAACCATATTATCAGGATCTAGAGCCTCTTGGTGCAGAAAATACAATGGGAAAAGCATCATTTTCTTCTTTTCATTCAACCAAAGGAAAGGGGCACTGGATGCAATTTCTGGGTGCTTCTGCGTAATATCCAAAAGATAAACTTAGCCATCTTTCTTCCACAAACAATGTATGAAGAAGCATATCACAGAGTGCAACAAAGTTAAGTGCATTTTGGTTTATGAAAAGAGTATAACAAGAAACCACGGGTAAAATCCAAATCATTTTTTACAGTCTTATAGGCATAGACAGATATCGGAAATGCTTGCTTACTGCTTAGAAAGCATAGGCACTGTTGATACCTTGTTGCCATAAAAAAGGTAAAAAACTATTCAGCATAATCAAGAAAAACACAATGACAACTATGAAAGCTGTCCAAGCTTAAGACATGTATCACAGAAGTTCAGTTGCCAACGACCATTCAGCAGGAGGTGTCCATACTCCAGCAGATGTGGTCGATGCAGGCCAAACTTGTTAATAAAATACAACATCAGACCCATATCACCTTGCAAACACGATACAGTACTTCAGCAGCGGTAAATTATTATCTTTCTACTAACAGCTCCAGAGGCACCAAGCTTAAGAAGATGTCATCAGATAAAAATGGAATCTTCAGACAGACCTAAAAGCCCGTTCAGTCACAGAATTCAGCACTACCTACCTACTAGTCTACCTCCATAATTTTTTTTTTTTTTTTT